TAATTAATCATAATTAACACGAATTAAAAGTAATTGAACAAGTAAATGGAGTACAGCAGCTTGAAAATCACTTTCATTTGTATATCAATATATTTTTTAAGACTAATTTTTTAGTTCAATAAAAACTAAAATAGAAAACAAAAAAAACAGAATAGATCAAATTCATTTTTTTTGTTTATTTTACTCTCGTATTGCACTATTTATACTTGATGCATAACATGAACCAAATAAAATAAATTATCGATTGTCGAATACTTATTGCATGAATATAAGTTAAAGAATTATTTAATGATACTTGTGAAGAAACATGTGAAGATTTAATAAAAACTAAATTAAAAGAATATTTTTAATTGAATGTTGTATTAACAGAAAAAATGATTTTCAAATTTCGAATTGATAGCGTTTCTTCCAGATCGCTAACGTCAACTAGATGATTTAATATTCGAATTTCAAGATAGAACCGAATCAAAAGATCTGACAATTTCACAACAAAACTACTCTCGTTAAGATCATCGATATTTGTAAAATCAGGTTTTCTGTTACTATGACATTCTTATATTGAAATTTTCCTTGTCTAGGAAAGACCCTTTCAGAAACCTTCATTATAAGATTTCCATCTAAAGTTTTATCCATAGACAAGTTTCAGACACAATACAACATCCTAAAGGTTTTAGCTTAAACAATAAATAAAGAAGATTAATAATTGAAATTTTCTTTACAATAAATATTTACTATTTAAAAGAAGTTACCTTTTGTGTATATTGAATATTGATTTAAAATAATTAAGTGTTTCTCTTCCAAATTTTTTTGATAAATCTTGTGTAGAAATAAGACTTAAAACTGATTTCATAGACAATAATGATCATTTCTGATGAATTTAATAAACTTTTATGTAATTGATATGATGAACATATTAATTCGAATAATTTCCAAAAGTACCTAATTGTGTATGATTAACTTTTTTAACTTTGTGTGTATTTGATGTTGTTGATGAATCTTTTTCATTCTATTTAAAAAGAAAAAACAAATGAATTCCTTTAGATAAGACATGATCAAATATATTCTTCAAATCTAACACTTTGGAACTCTCTTCTTCTGTGAAAACTGAAATATCAACTATATTCTGTTCAAAAGAATGATGATTGTGCATATTTTTGCAATAATTCGAGAATGGTAATAGAATAGTTCATTTGTTGAGATTTGATAAATCTTCAAATAAAAAGAAAGAATTCAAAAAAAAAACATAATAAATATCTTTTTTTCTCTTTACTTGAAAAGATTAAATTATTAAGATCATGTAATATAAAGGGATGTTTAAAAAAAAATTATAAATAAACGAAGTTCATCATATTGATTATGAAAAAATTGGTCGAATTGTTGTTGGTCTTAAAACATTTGAAAGAACATAAATATCTTCCAAACATCCAACCTATATAAAAGACAAAAATGACAAACAATTTGTATT